CGGTTGACGTTGACGTCGACGAACACGTCTCCCGTCCAAATTAAACGTAACACACTAACGTAAATCTTATGGAAGAACCGATAGGAAAGGAAACATGGATAGATAAACCAGCACGCGCCGGTTTTCATCAACCCTTCCTTGAAGTGTCAAATTTGACAATGACCCCCCCCCCACACACACACACTCACACACACACACACACACACACGTGTATGGCGCTATATTGTGTGTCGCGCCGTGTGCAGCTCAGTGGTTCTTTTGGGGCGATAAGTTCTTCATCTGTGAACATACTCTCAAAGCATGTCAAATGTCCATGACTATTTATCATATAACAACCTGCATAGGTATTTGCATTTCAATGAACTCAATAACATTATTACAGCCACAGATTCGTTTCTAGAATAGTCTCTTCATTTATACTGAATCGAAAATGCCAGATTTTGTAACACTGACGAGTATGTAATGTAATTGTTGATTTATCTAGCATCCTATATGTTTTGCATTATATGAATTATTCAAACGTATATCAGTAACACAGCTTTCGAGCTACATGTATATACGTCCACCCTATAGCATCCATCATTGGTATGATTATATCCTATGGCTATATATAGTCATGATGGTGATATCCTACGACTATATATAGGTATGATTATATCCTATAACTATATATAGGTATGATTATATCCTATAACTATATATAGGTATGATTATATCCTATAACTATATATAGGTATGATTATATCCTATAACTATATATAGGTATGATTATATCCTATAACTATATATAGGTATGGTGATACCCTATGACTATATATAGGTATGGTGATATCCTATGACTATAATATATAGGTATGGTGATATCCTATGACTAAATATAGCTATTATATTCTATGATAGACAGACTAAACGATGACTGAATACATCTTACCGATAAACTATATTGGTATAATCTGTTTATCTTCCAGGAAGTGTTACCAGTCTGTGTAATGGCGCGAATATAGAATCAGAATATCTTACCTCCGGTGATACCGCCATTCTACAAGTAAATCTACCTCTCAACCAACCAGCTGGAGGCAGTATTGACGTTAGAGTTATAACAATGCGACAAGGTTGGTATCTTCTAGATAACAGAATCAGGATTAAAATCTCCAAACTGGATAAACTCTTTATTCATTTTGTTTTCTAATAGTCAAAGATGCATTATTGCAAAGCACACAGTGTTTGTCCCGGGTTTGTGGTTGGATGGCCGAATGGTTAGCAGGTGCGCGTTGTATCATAAAGTCTGTTATTGAGTCAAGTGGCGTGGTTTCGATTCCCCGATTGTACGTGACAAGGAGTACGGTCGCCTGTCCTCCCGTTCCCCCACTGCTAAAGACCCCTACGCGCAAGCGAATTATTGAAATAAAATTGAACCAGATGTTAGTCCCGAAATGACCTGGTTTGTGTCGAGTGGACGTTAAACCCCATTTATCTCTCTCTTTGTCCCGAGTTATGTTATCTTGGTTATGTTTTTCTTTGTGTATAGTATAATATGTATTATAGGTCCTACATGTGAACAAGGTGAATTTAAATGCGCCAATAACAGATGTATTAATACAACTTTAATGTGTGATGGTATCGACGACTGTGGTGATAAATCAGACGAACATTGTAAGTTCTAAAACTTTTTAACGTTTCATAATATTTCAAGTTTTTCTGTTGCTACTCCTAAACTGTGGAACAAACTACCATCACATAGGATGCAAAGTCATTGTGTACATTTAAATCCTTGCTAAAAACATAACTATTCAGTGCAGATGATGGGAAACTGTCGTAAATGTGACAGACTAAGCGCCAGTGGGCAAAATTTTGGATACGAGGCGCTATAGAAATCCATTATTATTATTATATTCATTTATTTTTAATTGTTTTTATATTTATTAATTTATTATGCACGTTCGATAAAACGTTCGAAATCTTAATTTGTGCGCTATAACGAAGAGTATGACTGTCAGTACTAAAGTAATGATGTGTCATTTCTATTTTTCGCTAAACTATGGAATTTCGTGCGGATTAATCTACATTAATTGTCATTCGAGAGATTTTGAATGTTTCGCAAACTACACTGTTATATACGCTGAATCTTTGCAACAAATATCAGTTCAAAGACGGTTCTATTCCGTTAGGAATTTACACATGTAGGATAGACTGAAACATTCTGGTCTACCGACGATATAAACAGCTCAGCAACACCTCTTTGTGTTAGGTAAAATCTTGTAGTCGGTCCCATTTTAGTCAAATTGAATCCCAATCTGGTTAAAACACAGATCCTATTTCGTTTCGTTTTTATAGTTCAAAATTTCGTTTTACTTGTCTTTACTACACTTGGATCTGGAAGAGTTGTTATTTAACTCGTGTTCTGAATGGTGTCAGGGATAAGCCAGTGAAAAGTTCTGGCACGGCGAGCTTTAGGCGTGTTTTGCACTGAACTGTGGGTAATCCACTAGTAACATCAATGCTGATTGGTTAATCAAATGTCTGACATCATAGGGTCATAAGTTGGTCTTTTGACCCCTGACGTGACCTATCGCTATAACTTGTCAGATCTTCATGTAGTGTAGGCCATCGAAAGTATAAAAAAACGAAACGAAAATATAGATCTGTCTTTTAATCAGATTGATTGAATCCAAGTTTGGAGATTTTTGTTTTTAATCAAATGTTTAATAAGCAGTTTGAGTACATGTTAGTGGATTAAGCCGAGAAAATGATATATCTTCTAAAAACGTAATAGTAAGTACAGGGGGACTACACCAAACATAATTTACACAAAAACAAATATACGGACAAGACATAACATGCAGAAATCACAAACAAACGAATAATTCAAATTAATTGAATGTATCCGGGGGCTATCCGTAAGCATCCACTGCGCTGTACAGTGCCTTTAGTGACACAGACTTCACTCAAATTTGAAAACACTCAGGAATATAACCTATGATCTGCTATATATTACACGAAATATGAATGTAAGCAATTATTGAAGTAAAATTTAAACATACAAGTAACCACATCGGTGAAGTTATAAACAAAACAGGTAGTCTGAAAACTAAAGTTCTAAGTCAAGTGAGAAAACATTTTTAGTATTCAATGGAATCGATGCATATTGAATACAGTTAGGTCACATGTTCCATCGACCACGAAAATGCAAATAAAGACCAGCAGCTTGAAACTTATGCCTAACACGAAAGCTTTCTAACACTAATTACCAAGTCGAACATGGATTACAATATGTTTTATTTACAGGTTTTCCTGGACTCCTTCCATGTCGACAATCAGATTTTATATGTACTAATCACTACTGTATAGCCGGTAATTTAATATGTGATGGTAAAGATGATTGTTATGATAACAGTGATGAAAACCCTGATAAATGTAAGTAGTAGCCCTGAAAACATACATTATACAAGAGCTAAATCTGTCTATTGCAGGTCTTTCTTTGGGCCTGAAATGTTATATAAATTATATAATGTTATATTAATTAATAATTAATTAATTAACTGATCCAGACCATAATCAACTCTCGATGGCATCGCTAGCCTGCAATCTTTAGTGGATCGGGTTCCGATTTGCTGTTCGACTTCCATTCATAATTTAATCACGAAATGTATAATCAAGACTATGTTTTTTTTATCGCACCGACTTTAGTAAGTCGAGGCTATTCTGAAAATGCAATCGCTAAATTCTCGGTTCAGAGTGGATCAATTAGACTGAAATGTTCAGCAAATTCCCTTTACATTATCCAGTTTTTAACTATTATAGTGAGAACTGCCATCTCTTTATCTAATCTCCCATAATGTATCTTTTAATGAAATTTCTCTGTGGATTTAGCTATTGTTAAAGACGTTATTGCTCTTTAGCCTTTAGTGCTGGGGTTGGATGGCCGAATGGTTAGCGTGTGCGCGCTTCGTCATAAGGTATGTCATTGTACGTGACATGGAGTAGGGTCGCCTGTCCAAGACCCCTACGAGCAACCGAATTATTGAAATGGAACTGAACTGTAAGTTAGTCTCTACCCTAATATTTACTATGGTTACCTTTTTCTGCAGGTTGTTATAATAACGGAACACTCAAGTGTAAATATGGAGAGTGTTACCAAGAAGCAGGCCGATGTGATAGTGTCGAGGACTGTTCTAATGGAGTTGATGAACGTGGATGTAAGTTTCAGTAACCTCAATTTCCTCCTACTGAATTTTACACATTTATGTTTGAAAAGAAAAAAAAAATGGTTTATTATTTCGCCATTAAATTAATGTCGTCGTTTTGTGTTTCTATGGCTACGTGTGCAATGCAAGGTTGGATTATTTTGCGAGGACATCTTTGTTTCAGCCAACCCTCCGTCGATTCACAACGTTAATGTCGATGAAGATATGGGTGCACATGTGCAAACCAATCTTGAAAATGTTTAAAGTCCATTTTTCGCCCACACTAGGATTTGAACCCGGGTCATTCTGACCAAGACTCCGGTAAATCAACGGCTCTACTAACTCAATCCTTTGCATCATCAAGGCTACACTGGACATTTGGACCATGTATAGCCTTGATGAACATGGGCTCTTAATAAGACTATGCCGTAACGCCGCTTTCCGGGCACAATTTCCCTTATAGCACACTGCATGGCAGTATGTCCGTCTTCATTATCCCAGTCTTAGCAGAACAGTAGAACATTAAACCACATTTCATTTTTGGGCTCCACTGCAAAAGAAAGGCCGCAAATAAGACCCTTTAGACCTCTCGGTGGCGATCTATATAATGGGACAGTTTTATTGTGCCTGCCATTGGAATAAGTTTTCGTTCGAATATATAAGGAGTTAATGTGATTCAAATGTAATTATTTAACAAGTTAAACCTCGTTCTATTTCATTTGTTTCATCTTAAGGAGCAGATAACCCATGCATATAATTGTCAAATAAAGTGGAAGTTGTTTTTTTATTTGTATACTTTCAGGTAAAACTTGTAGACCTGGATATTTTCACTGTACTAATGACGTATGTGTACGCAACACTAGTCGGTGTGATGGATATGAAAACTGTGATTCTGATGAATTAAACTGTATGCGTTTATCATAATTGTCGTCATCATCATCATCATCGTCATCGTCATCGTCGTCGTCGTCGTCGTCGTCGCAGTCATTATGATCATCATCGTCGTCATTGTCGTCGTCATCATCATCATCATCATCATCATCATCCGCCACCGTCTTGTTCATCTGATTTTAATGAAAATTTGTATGTGGCTTTAAAGCAACCAAACAGACGGCGAAATTCCTTTATTCCATTATTATGATGAAATAGCTTTTATAGCGGGGAGGTTTCCAAATGGCGGCCATTCTTATTCATTTATTTACATGTCCGAACTGAACAGTTTCTATAAATTAAAATCATGCCATCGACAATTCCATGGTGTATATTAATGTATGACAATGGAAGTAACATTATTTTTACAAAACGTTTATGTTTTTACCGGCTGTACTAAATACCGAAAAAATATCGAAAAAACAACGAAAAATACCGACTTTTGTATACTTAATCTCCGAAAAATAAAAAAAAAAAACCCCAAAAACCTGACTAAATACAATAAAAAATAACACTAGTTACGAAATATTCAGAAAACCCCCGTCTAAATGCAATAAAAACAACACTAATTACCGCAAAAAACCCTAACTACCGAAATACTGAAAAAGTAGGATCAAACTAGTCCACAAATTATATATCACTATGGATGGTTGTATATTTTGACTACATCACATCTACAGGCAGATGTGTATTTTGACCCCATCCTATCTACAGGTAGCTGTGTGCGTTGACCCCATCCTATCTACATGTAGTTGTGTATGTTGACCCCTATCTTATCTAATCTACGTGTAGCTGTACGTTTTATTAAGACATGATATCTTGATGTGTTATCTATTAAAAATATATTTAACTGATGGATCAGTTCCTGAACTCACTTTAGTTCAGTTTCTGTTTATGAGCCGCTGTGTGTTTTATTAATTTTAGTGTTGAGCAATCTGATTAAAATACAGATCTATATTTTGTTTCGTTTTTTTATACTTTCGATGGCCTCTACTACATGAAGATCTGACCAGTTGTAGTGGAAGGTCCCGTCAGAGGTCACACGAGCGACTTTTGACCCTATGACGTCAGACATTTGATTAAAAAATCAGCGTTGATGTTTCTTAGGGGTTACCCACAGTTCCGTACACCTCACGCCAAAAACTCGCCGTAACAGACCGTTTCATTGGCTAATCCATCACATCATCCAGAACACGGGTTATATAACAACTCTTCTAAATCCTAGTAAAGACAAGTAAACTATACAAAACGAAACGAAATAGGATCTGCGTTTTAATCAGATTAATTGTAGAGTGTTATCCATGGTGTTATAGATATTCTTACACCACTTTCTTGTTCCGATGATAAATAAAGCTAATATTTACAATCCTTATCATATGTTTGCATTTGTTAATGTTGCAATATATTTTACAGGTTCGAGTTGTCGTTTTGGTAGTTTTCTCTGCACCAACAAAAGATGCGTCACTTCCTCTAAGAGATGTAACGGGAAAAATGATTGTGGCGATAATTCAGATGAAATTAACTGTAAGTTTATCACTGTAAGATTCTTTTATTGTTAGATATTTATGACCGGCCCTAGGAACTACGATGTATAATGTCCAGTAGCGGACATGTTTTTAGCGGTCCAACATGTTCAAAACCTCTTACTCATTATTGTCCGTGATATTCGAAATTAATATTGTCCCATTTCAAATTGATGTTGTTATCTTACCGTGAAAACACGGGATGCAAATGTTCTATATATTAGACACAATGAGCATTTTATAATCAGTATGCTAGTCGTGTATTCTAAGGTTTCGAGTGCCATTTGTAATGAAAACAGAAAACATATCCTACATGACAACGTGGAAGTTGTAGTAATGCCGGATCCACAAACGACAAATGATTATAAAAAAAGCCCAAGAAGAATGGACTAACAAGACGTTAAGGACTATCGTTCATTCTGGACTGTTTAACTATTTCACCAAACATATTTGATTAGAAATTACAATTCACTTTATATATATGCATGTTAGATTAATGGGACTGTTAGATCCATGTCAGATTAATGGGGCTTTTAGATCCATGTTAGATTAATGGGACTCTTAGACCCATGTTAGATTAATGGGACTGTATGGCCCATGTAAGATTAATTGAGCTTTTAAACCCTAGTTTGTATATTTAAAGATTCCAAATATTAGAGCCATCCGCCCTTTAATGGATTCGTTTGTCCAACCTCGTGAGTCTTCTCCGGGTCCTCCGGTTTCCTCTCACTGCAAGCAAATTATTGAAATAAAATTGAACCATATGTTAATCTCGAAATGACCTGGTTTGTGTCGAGAGAACTTTAAACTCCGTATCTCTCGCTCCCTTTAATGGATAATGCCCAGAACTGACTACTTGTTATAAATGTACTTATACAGTTTTACTTGAAAATATTAGATTTGTTCCCTTATAGCCATTCTGTTAATTCGGTTTACGAGCACCTACAACTAAGCACACGGCAAATACATGGAACCAGATTAAAGGGGTATTGTGGAAGATTAGATAAAGAGCTGACAGTTCTCACTATAATAGTTAAAAACTAGATAATGTAAAGGGAATATGCTGAAATTTCAGTCAAATTGCTTCACTTTGAAATTTAGGCCCAGTCTCGGTCATCATTACTAAAGTCGGTACGATAAAAATCAAAGTCTCAATTATCATGTTTGGATTAAATCATCAATGAGCGTTGAGTAGCAAATCGGATTCAAATCCAGTGAAAATCCGACATGTTAATTAATGTCTAATTAATGGTTTATATAACATTTCAAGCCTAAAGAAAATCCCCCGATGGACAGATTTATCTCTTGCATAATGTATGTTTTACTTGGTTGGTCTTTGTGATTCAGTGTACAAGTCAGTGGAAAACTCTAGATAACGCAATTCTGGTTATTAAATTTGTACGGAATTCCATGATGAAAATATCAGAATTTAGCCATTTACTGCGGGGTTTTTGTTGTTGATAAAGACTTCGACGACATGGCCTATTCTAATTTCTAATTCCATGTGTAATTGTAGGTTTGAAGTGCAAAGATTATACCTTTCTCTGTGGGAACAAGACATGTGTTAAACGATGTAATGGTGTTAACGAGTGTGGCGACAATTCAGATGAACTCAACTGTAAGTCTGCCTTCACAAATAAACAGTAATATACCAAATCTAGTCAACCAAAATTGTCTGGCAAATTAATTGTGTACATGTGTATTTTTATATAATGTTAATTTAAAGACCCTTATCTTGAATTGTAAACTTTAAAATTCACTGCTAAAGACCCCTTTGAAATAAAATTGAACCATGTGTTAGTCCTAGTTTGTGTCGAGTGGACGTTAAGTCCCGAAATGACCTAGTTTGTGTCGAGTAGACGTTAACCCCCTCCCCCTCTTTCTCTCTCTCTCTCCCCCTCTCTCTCTCTCTCCCCCTCTCTCTCCCCCCCCCTTTGTCTCTCTCTATCTCTCTCTCTCTCTCTCTCTCTCTCTCTCTCTCTGTTATAATAAAACTATAGACTAGAAGTGCTCAATATGGAAAAACATTTTAAAGATATTATATATCTGGAATATTTGGCAACATTCGACATCATCTTCCGGTGAAATAAAAAAAGCGCCATTTTTACATGTTGGGTAGAATCTCCATTAAATAATTACTTTTCAAAATTAGACTGTTTGATAAAAGCATAGTTGATGACCATTAGTTAAATCTACTCTCAATGGGTCATCCCATTGAATCCAAACCAGTAGAGTATCTGCAGGATCATATTTTGATTTCTTAATTATGTTGAATAATCGATTTAAAGATGCATCCCCCACGCGCCCCACCCTCCACCCACCCTCCACGGCAGTGTTCAGGGTCTAACCGTGGTCTGCGGGGATTACTCAAACTCCACCGTAGAACCACCGAGGTCAAAGTCTACGACTTTAATGATTAAAGATGGCTAAGTTAAAAACTACACAATGAAAAGGGAACATCTTTAAAAGTTCAGTCAAATTATTTTATTTTTAGTAACGTTACAGCTGTTTGGAGAATAGCTGAATCTCGATTAATTAATAATTTAAATAGCATCATATAAGGCCTAAAGAAAGACCTGCAATAGACAGATTTAGGTCTATCAATTGGAGATAAATGTGCTTCGTATCAATTACATTTTGTTTTTCTGTATTACAGGTTTACAGTGTGACTACTCCAGTTTCCACTGTAATAATAATAAATGTATCGAACGTAGTAAAAAATGTAATCATCTTGATGATTGTGGAGATAACACAGATGAAAGTAACTGTAAGTGTGGGCCATTTTAAATCTCAACTCAAAACATTCTTGTTTCAAAACCCTGATCTGTAAATAGTCAGTGAATACAACTGTTTTTCACTATTAATGCACTTAATAAATGTCGATATTATTATTATCTAATAAAGGATAAAACTGCAGTTAATAAACCAAGTGAATGTTTTCCATAAAGATGACTGTTATTATATATCGCTTTCACTAAATGCTCATAAAGATAATATTATTATTATCATTAAGTTTCGCCATGTCGAATTTTCACTTCATACATAATTAATGAATATTATTGAAATGTCGTGATGAATTCCCAGATAATATATCTGTGCACGATAGAATGATAATTTGTTCCAGGTTACTGCAACTAGTAAGTATCAGTCTAAAAGGCGTGATTTCCCCCTTCGAAAAAACGATCAACGAGTACCTGAGTGCGCGTAAAACCACTCTTAATTGGAATTTGACATAAAATAGGCGGAAACGGCGGTACCTGGGCCAAATATCCTTCATATTACACTACATGGCATCTGTCTATCTTCCTAAACCTGGATGTTTCAGAAGAGCAGAATGTTAAACTCCCTTTTTATATCATTTCATTTAATTTCTCCCATCTTATTAATCATTTAGTACACACGTCTTGGTGATTTGTTTGTTTTCAGGTTGCGCTACCTTGGATTTTAACTGCAAAAATCTGAAATGTGTTAGCCTATTCACGAAGTGCGATGGTCATGATGATTGCGGTGATAATTCAGATGAAACAGATTGTGAAGGTATATGTTTTATATTATTTATGGTCATCAGGTGTGTAGCATATTAGGCCAGGTGTTTCATATATGTCTATCTTAAAGATACATTATGTAAGATTTAGAAAAAGAGCTGGTCGTTCTTACTATAAACGTTCCAAATTAGATAACGCAAAATTAATATATTGAAAATTTCATTCAAATTACTTTATTCTGAGCGAAGTTATCGCTATCTGGAGTTTTGACAATATGCGGCATTGGTTGTTTATTATCGTAGTCACGGTACTGGTTATTCTAAACCAATTCTCCTTCTCCATTATTAAATTAAATCAATAAATGACCGAAACGTTCTAATCTACTTCAAATTGGAGCCATCCGATCGTTTAGAGAGTTGAATATGGGCTTGCCATCTTAATAAATGTCTGAAAAAGTTTATATAACATTTGAAGGCAGATTAAAGACATACAATAAGCAGATTTAGCTCTTGAATATCTGTGACGTATTGAACCAGGGAAAAGTCCCCGGTCTCTACTTATCTTGTAGTTGTTCTTTTGGGTGGCCACACTCTTCGAGAAACATCTACGGCTTCACCATTTCAGGTACGATCAACATGCAACTTGGCATACTCGTTCCTTGACCAGTTGTACGCCAATTGTTGATATGACGTTGCAATTCCAAGATGGCGGCGATATTCCGACCCTGGTCTTATTTGTTGCAAGCATTTGGAAGTCAATCGAGTTCAACCAATGCTTCCCGCCACATTTGACGCCAATAAAATGAGTTGGCATGTTCAATGATTCAAATGTATTAAAATAATTATTTCATTTGTTATTCAGTTCAGTGCAAAAGTTACGAGTTTTCCTGCAAGAATGGGAAGAAGTGCATCTCCGAGTCCTTTAAATGTGACGGTTATGAGGATTGTTCGGACGGTTCTGATGAGAAAGGCTGCCCAGGTAAATAATACCGATGAATGTATAGATAACCATATTGACCCGGATATCGTGTAGAATAGATTTTGTATCTAGTGCCAACATAGTTATCAATTAGGTCGCACTGGCCCATCCCTCTTCCCAACTTCCCCCTCGCCACTGCGTGTCGCCTCTCTCGCCTTGCTTTCGTCCATTTCTCTCCCTCTCCCCACTACAGGTCCCCTCTCTCGCCTTGCTGCCGTCCATTTCTCTCCCCATTCTTCCGTTCCTTTCTTTCCTCTCTCTCCCCACTTCCACCCCTCTCTTTATCTCCTACTCTCTCACACGCTCTCGTCCCCATCCTCACTGCATGTCCCCTCTCTCACCTTGCTTCCGTCTATTCTATTTCCCTCCCCATGTTTCCCTTCCTTTCTTTCCTCCCTCTCTCTCCCTACTTCCATCCTCTCCCTATCTCATACTCTCTCGTACGCTGTCGTCCACATCCTGATCGCCCCCCGTCTTTCCCCATCTCTCAACCTCTGTTGCCATATGTACCCTAACATCTATAGATCGTTTAATACAAACAGAATCCGGATTATAAATTTCAGATCAATTGCTAACGTGTTCCGTATCTTGAATAACAATGGGGGTTGTGTTTGCTTCAGTATCTGCATCTGATGTTTCAGAATTAAAACACGATACTGTATACTTCATGTGATTTTATCTTCAGACTCATACTTCATGTTATTTTCATCTTCAGACTCATCTTGATGGTATACTGAATAATATCATACTTCATGTGATTTTTTTCTATCTTCAGACTCATTTTAATGGCTTACCAAATAATATTATACTTTGTGTTATTTCATATGATGATATTGAATTCTATTATACTTTGTGTTATTTGATGTGATAGTATTAAGTACTTTTATACTTTGTGTTATTTGATGATGTGATAGTAGTATTGTATACAATTATACATTGTGTTTTTGATGTGATACTATTAAATACTATTATACTTTGTGTTATTTGATGTGATAGTATTAAATTCTATTATGCTTTGTGTTATTTGATGATGTGATAGTAGTATTGAATACTATTATACATTGTGTTTTTGATGTGATACTATTAAATACTATTATACTTTGTGTTATTTGATGTGATAATACTAAATACTATTATACTTAGTGTTATTTGATGTGATAGTATTGAACACTATTATACTTAGTGTTATTTGATGTGATAGAATTAAATACTATTATACTTTGTGTTATTTGATGTGATAGCATTAAATACTATTACACTCTGTGTTATTTGATGTGATAGTATTAAATACTATTATACATAGTGTTATTTGATGTGATAGTATTAAATACTATTATACTTTGTGTTTTTTGATGTGATAGTATTAAATACTATTATACTTTGTGTTATTTGATGTGATAGTATTTAATAAATTCTTTTACTTTGTCTACAGGATCACCATGTGGTATTATGCAATTTAAATGTGATAATGGTGATTGTATACCCATTACATATAGATGTGATGGTGATGATCAATGTAACGATAGCTCAGATGAAAGTGGCTGTGGTTATTTTTCCTCTACGGATGATGATATTTCAGTTGGAGCTAATGCTGGGATTGGAATAGGAGTTTCAGCGTCTGTAATAATAATAATATTAATCGTTGCTGCTGCTTACAGGCGAAAAAGATATGGAGCTGTATTTACTGTAAGTATGCATGTTGTTTCACAGCTAATTATAAAGATACATTATGTAAGATTTAGATAAAGATCGTGTCGTTCTTGCTATAATAAATAAAACAATAGATAATTAAAAAAATGATTTTGTAAAACTTAACATCAAGTGTGCTCAGTTAATGGTGGATTATGTAAGATTTAGATAAAGAGCTGGTCGTTCTTGCTATAATAGTTTAAAAATAGATAATTAATTTTTGTTTAAACTTAACACGAAGTGTGCACTGCTAAAGATATATTATGTAAGATTTAGATAAAGAGCTGACCCTTCTTGCTATAATAGTGTAAAATTAGATAATTAAAAAAAGATTTTTTGAAACCAATGGGTGCATTAGGTAAGATTAGATAAAGAGCTGACAGTTCCCATTATAATAATTAAAATATATAATGAAAACGGAATATGCTGAAATTTTCAGTCAAATTAGTGATTCAATTTTAGGCTTCCAAAATTGAAATTAGACTGTGTCATTTTATATTTTAATTACAAACAAGTAATAGTCAACTGGCATGGTTTCGAATCCCCGGTTGTACGTGACAAGGAGTAAGGTCGCCTGTCCAACCTCGTGGGTTTTCTCCGGGTTTCCTCCCACTGCTAAAGACCCCCCCCCCTCTCCCTCTCTCTCTTTCTCTCTCTCTCTCCAACAATTAATATACTGTATGATTTTATGTTTTATTTAAAGACAAGTGATACACTATAGTATGTTATATTTTATTTACAGAACTCAATGGGTCCATGTCAAACAACGGTGGCCTACTCCCAATACCACTAAACGCCAATCACACGATACAGTAATACACCTACTGGCCGACCTACTGATTACATGGCATGATTAAAGGTCATTATACAGTAATACTCTTGTTAGCCGACCTACTGATTACATCTGTATGATTAAAGTACACTATACAGTAATACTCCTGTTAGCCGACCTACTGATTACATCTGTATGATTAAAGGACACTATACCGTAATACCTCTGTTAGCCGACCTACTGATTATATCTATATAATTAAAGAGGCATTATGTAATACCCCTGTTAACCTTTATAACGGTATGATTGAATGATCAACTCGGCAGAACATTCCGATACTCATTCCAAAACGTACTGATTGTTTCCTTTTTATTTAACACCTTTTCTTTGTACTGTCATTATCTAAAACCCTAATATTGATTATTATTTTTTGTAACACCCTTTCTTTGTACCGCCATTATCTAAAACACTAATATAGATAAATATCTTTATTTTACTAAATTACAAGCTGATCAGTAATATTTTATTTTTAATAAATATCATCCTATTATGGAAGCAAATTTGTATAATCATTAAATTGCGTTTTACTGTATCTAAGTATTCAAATCGTTTCCTTTATGATTGGATGTAATTAATCTAAATAAATATTGTCAAATGAAATGGGGTTTAACGTCCTACTGTTCTGCTCCGAACTGGGCTAATGAAGAGGGGTATACACCATACAGTGTGCTATGATGGCAATTTTGCCCGTACAGCGGCACTATCGCCTACTCTTATATCGCATTCCAACTGTCAAGGGATCTTTTACGTGCACGCCAATGTGTACACAGGACCTCGGTTTTTTGTCCCATCAGAACGACTAGACAGTTGTCCTTGTCAGGCCCTCCGTCCTGCATCGCTGACAAGAGGGAACCACACCGGAAAATCTGGATGAACTTTCTCGGCCAATGTAGGGATCGAACACACGACCTTCAGGACAGCGAGCCAGCGTCTTAGCCAATTAGGCACCATGACCTCCAAATAAATATTGTTTAATTCATATTGGTTCTATTATTCTCCAGATATATCAATGCTAACATAAACTCTATAAATTTAGCACTGTTGAGTTTAAAATAAAGTCGCCATCGCTTAATACCAATGATTCCACGAAAGTAAACAGGAGCTTTGACCCGAATTGTCAACTGGATTTTCTGTTGTGGTTTTCCTTTGGGAATGATGCAGGAAACAGGGGATGGCAAAGAACAGTAAAAATGGGGTATGATCAGCCACACCGTTTATTTATCTAGCAACTGTCACTAAAAGTGGATTATGTTTATACCTATAAGATCCTAATACCAGAGCAGGACATGAGGGCAACAGACACTTGGTGAACATCTGCTAAGGATACCCCCTAGATACTTTAATACATTGTATATCATTCTGTAAATTGTATTATTCCTGATAATGACAAATTACACTAGATCTGTACCCTGTACGAATGTAGTGAAAGTTATAAATAGACAATTTTTCCCTTAATTGATATGGTGCGAATTATAAATAAATAAATTTTTCCTTTAATTTATGTAGTGCGAGTTATAAATAGACAATTTTTCCCTTAATTTTTTTTCTCCCATTTTCCTACATTTGTTTGGGGTATAGAATTGGAGAAATGGGATCAAACTTTCAATTTGATACTGATGTCTGATGATATTATAGTGGCGGGATAGGAAGTGTAAAGTGTCTTTATGTAGAGCAATCATTGTGTTGGAAGTAAGATTTTGACACCAATCAACATCAAATCCCCGAAGCAAAAAAGTCTAAACGGTCAACTCCTACAAAATTATGATGAAGAGAGTGCTAAATGCGGTCCCCTATGCGCCTATAAAGATTGAAACCAATGGAATGTTGAGCAAAAAGTCAATGGGCAAATAATTGCTAGTCTGAGTCCCTATGCTACTAGTATTATGAACTATCTTAATGTATACAATTGCGGCTTTAAAACCCATATCTAAACAGTGAATAAGGCTATCGTATGTAGTGCAGTATAATTTATAAATAACATTAACGTGTTATACTTTATGCATGTCGACTCTATATTATCATAATGTATTATAAAACTTTATAACGTTGCATAGCTTAAGATTAAATGCGTATCAGATTGAGGATGTAACGTGATAGATATTTTTAACTGCACGCATTCTTTATTCTTTTTATCTCTCTAACGTAAAGAAGGGTTATACTTCATAATAATAATAATATAATAATAATAATTTATTTATTAAAATGTCACAAATCATTCTATACAGCTAAAAACATAATAATATGTTTAAAAAAACAAACAATATATGCTGTATATATATATATATATATATATATATATATATATATATATATATATATATATATATATATATAGAGAGAGAGAGAGAGAGAGAGAGAGAGAGAGAGATCACTCCAGGTACAAATTTTTACACGAAATATGACTTGCAAATTCAATTGTGTGGTATATATGAAATGAGTGTTCTGAAAATACACCGAGAAAACTGATCATTAACTGAATATTAGAATGAATATCCACAGTACAATACAAGGCCCCATATGGATAAATGTGGACGAGGTATATTCAAGGTTTTCTCTCTTTACTAAGAAAATTTTAAAAATTGTCCTTTATTAGAATTTAACGAAATCAATTTTATTAAACAATATCCTCCTTAAATCGGAAAATTAAATAATGAATAGTAATAATGTTAGATATTATATTTTATTATCTGGAATTATATTTAATTAATGTGATATTTTTCCTGTTTCGTAACTATGCAATATGGCAATATGAAGAGGTGTAAGAGAACTATGCCAATAACTTTTAGTCAGGGTGATTCGTATGATTTAACATATAGAAAAACAATATCTGTAGAAATAAAATTAAAGTAGAATAGTTGTCCGAACAAATAAAATTATTGATATATCTTCATATCTACATTGATTTTCTATATCACACTGTAGATTCCTTATTATAATTATATATTCTAAATGATAAATAAAATGTCCCGCCCCACCCCCCAGTATTATTAAATATCATTGAATTAATACAAACTATACTACTCACAGTTGTATTCCGAAACATATGTCACGCCTTTACTGGTTAAATCTTTGTATACAGACGTCTATTATCATTATCAGAAACAACAGTTTAAGCAATTATGATTATCTCAAATAAAAAAAGCATCAATGATTAACACAATTATCATTGTCTCTATAATACAAAATGTTACAACGTATATCATAATTAATACAAAATGCTACAATATATAAACTAATTAATACACAATGTTACAATGTATAGCATAATTAATTCAAAATGCAACAATATATAAACTAATTAATACAATATGCTACAATGTATATCATAATTAATACAAAATGCTACAATGTATATCATAATTAATACAAAATACTACAATATAACTAATTAATACAGAATGTTACAATGTATAGCATAATTAATACAAAATGCAACAACATATAAACTAATTAATACAGAATGTTACAATGAACAGTTGAATTAATAGAAATGAAATGGGGTTTAACGTCCTACTGTTCTGCTCCTATACTGGTCTATTAAATACGGAAATACGCCATACCGTGTGTTATGAGGGAATTTTGACAGGACAGCGGCACTACGGCCTACTATTATATCGAATTCCAACTGTCAAGGGATCTTTAAGGTACACGCCAATGTGTACACGGGACCTCGGTTTTTCGTCTCATCCGAACGACTGTGCAGCTGTCCATGTCAGGCCCTCCGTCATGCATCACTGACTGAATTAATAGAAAACGTCATATTGTATATTATAATAAATACAAAATGTTACAAAGTATAATATAATAATAATAATACAAAATGCTACAATATATAACGAAATAAAATCGGTTTATTGTCCGACTGTTCTGTTCCGGACAGTATAATACACAATGTTACAATATATAATATAATACAAACATTTACAATCAATGACACATGATATAATAGTATAAAGCTATAAATAGAGTCTCTAAGGTGACTACGACTATTAACCAAAGAAATGGCAAATTGTGTCTCTTTACAAACTACGCCATCCACATTTAATATGAAGTTAATATAAATTGCGGATTAAGTGTATTATATAGAAAAGGATGTGACACATAACTTTGAATATTAAGCCTAATGTAACACGAGTTTGTAAGCCAGCATATCTTTCAATTATTGTTTTGGTCGTGTAATAATAAATTCAGAATATGGTTACTACCAGGAAATACCAACCGTCAAATACCATATTACTCTTTCACTTACATTTACACGAAAGTATTTATCGGATGATTATTACTCTTTCACTTTGTGTTGAGTGGACGTTAACCCCCCCCCCCCCCCCCCCCTCGCGCTCTCTCTCTCTCACTTTAAAAAATCCACCAATTTGTTTTATATGAAGTTGAGGTTACTGTGTTTAAGCCCATGTGACTAGTCCAACAAGGACAGGGATATGAGACATTAAATATATATTTAAATTTATATTATATTTTTTTTGTTTAGTATCCAGGATTTATTTATCTATAATATATTAATTATGTTTAGTACCCAGTGGTTTATTTATATTATATATAATATTATTTATATATTTATATAATATTAATTATGTTAAGTATCCAGGATTTATATATTTATATTATATTAATGATGTTTAGTACCCAGTGATATATTTATATTAATTATGTTTAGCCAATGAATAATCCCCTTCTTGTTTATCATTGCTATGATACCCTTCAATATGGTTGTATGTTCCATCCGCCACGACTGGATGTCCATGACTATCACCAATATGGTTGTATGTACCATCCGCCATAGCTGGATGTCCATTACTATCACCAATATGGTTGTAAGTACCATCGGCTACAGCTGGGTGTCCCTGACTACCACCAATATGATTGTATGTGACGTCCGTTATCTCTTGACGTCCGAGATTACCACCAATATGATGGTAGCCACCACTATCCAGTCCAGTTTTATCATGTTCACCAATATGGTTGTAGGCATCGTCAGTAACGGTATTTAATTGGTTCTCTCCAATATGATGGTAGTTATCCTCGCCAATATGCTTCAAATTAATATCAGACGTCACAGCTTTCTGTCCAATATAATTATAATGGTCAGTTTGTTTTACGTGATTATCGCCCAATATATAATGGTAATCGTCACCAGAGGGCGGATTATTACGTGAAGGGCGCGTGGTATTGTCCAACTCGATATCTGAATAATGAGGGGTTGTGTTTCTAGGTAAAGCCGAGTCAGTTTGATATCGTTGATTTGGAACCGTTCTACTAACATGGCCAGCTTTTGTCGCCGATATATCTTTTTTGTCTCTCCTAAAGTAAAAATATTTATACATAAAATACATGACAAATCTTTCTGGTAGATATGTAATAGTTGGCGTATTCTCTATGTTAAACTAATTAGATATGATATATTTCAATAAATGATTTAAAATGAGTATTATTAGTCTTCATGGTAATCCGGTATATATCAGCATGGATATCAGTCTTTTTGTTGTAAAGTGTTCAATCACCAAATGACATGCATGAACAGCGTCATTTCCACCTACTCTTCTTAGAATGCCAATTGCTGGGGGATATTTTACGCACACTACAAGGACACCTATGTTTTTTCACTATCTGAAGGACAAGGGACACTCTCCTGGTTAGCATAGACGTAAAGATTCATGCTTTGAGTCCAGTGGGAAACACTTTCCCCATATGTACGGAATATAAAACTCACCTTTTAATAAAGAATATGACAGCACCGACAATACCAATAACTAATATAACACCGACTATACCACCAACTATAGCTCCTACATCTGTATCTAAATATAATAATACGATATATAACACCAACAATACCTCCTACATCTGTATATAAATACAATAATATACAATATACATCAACAATATCTCCTACATCTGTATCTAAATATAATAATACACACATAACTAATTTACCACCAACAATACCTCCTACATCTGTATATAAATACAATAATATACAATACATATATAACTAACATTCCACTATAATTAATATACAATATACATCCTACCTGTGTCTAATTCTCAAGTTCAGCTAGTCAATGTTAGCAGGTCGTTGACACTAGAACATCTGATGCCCCAACTCATTTTGAGTGGTTAAAATTTGTGTTTTTCTTTTGTATTTTTTTAACATTCTTGATTAGATTTTTTATAGGCGCCCTTGTTATTTGTAAATCAAGTTAATCAACCAGTCGGTGATTGATCATGTATCTTAGTTTTTTTTTGATAAACTTTATGCACTCACCTGCTTGACTGTTACCGCTACCTGAAATAAATTATAACAACATATCATTTCCAAGTCATGAACCCAGGTTATATGTCTAACAAACCAAGAAAATATAATTATTAACAACAAGGCGTGTATAATACACATATAATACACCGAATTACCGTTTTGTCAATCAACCAGTATTTTTCCCGTGGTTAGCATAAACATAATATAATGGTTACGGTCAGGTTTATTTGGTAGCTTGATATACGTTCTCATCAAGAACTCGACGTATCACCTAATTGTCTTTAATAAGCTTGATGAGTAAATTTCAGTATTTAAAACGCAAAAGCATTAGAATCGAATATTTTGGCTCACACACAATTTGCAGGGATTTTTAAACGGAAACAAATGGTGTTAGTCTAAAATGACGGATATATAACATAAAACACTAAATAAATATTATTGTCGATCTAAACTGTGAATTAATGAGAACAGTTAAAGCTAAAGGATAATAGTAGAGTGTTAATAGACCTACCCGGTTGTGGCGGTGTTGTAAGTAAAATACCGGTATTAGGTTTCACTGAAGAAGCTATAAGATAATATTATAATCGGTTAGTAGCATCAATACACGAGACAGGGAATAGGAATAATAACTGACACGTTATTGTACTTTAACAAAAACAAGGGTGTTATGAAATGGGAACCATAATCAAAGCCAGCCAATCCGTGGACAATTATCCAAGGAATAATCATGTTAGTCGCAGCCTACAATTAATTTGGCGAAGTCTTAGACATTTTTGGACAAGGGTCGCCCCCAAGAACAATAACAAAATATATATTGCTGAAAAAAAGGTAAATAGGGTGTATAGCAAGCTTGAATGCTTCTCATCAATCGGTGTGTATTTATTATATTCGCCAAATTCAATGACAATCGTCTGAATACTTGAAACGAATCTAAACAGAGCAATGCCAAAGTGAGTGCTGCTGTAAAATAGATTTCTCGGAAAAAAAGCAAACCAGATTTAAATAATAACTGCGTGATTTGTTGGAAGTATATATTTATACAATGACATTATTTATGAATAGTCCCAAGACGGACGAAAAGTACTTTAAAATGTTAAAATGTTATTAAACCAGTGTTGAAATCAGTTTGTGTCGGCATACCTTTTTTTTTTATCTTTTCATCATTTACCGTGAAACAAAGTAGTGCAGCTTTGCGGTTGTGCTAATAATTTTGGATATATATATATATATATATAGGCTAGCCTCGAACATCATTACCAAAGTCGGCACCATAGAAAACAAAAGTCTCGATTATCAATTTTTACGTTTTAATTATCATTCACATTATGTATTTCAATCCCCTAAATACCGTAGGTTAGCGATGGCATCGACAGATGATTATGGTCTGGATAAGTTAACTAATAATGCCTAATTATTAATTTAGATAACATTTCAGACCTAAAGAAAGACATCAATTGGCAGATTTAGCTCTTACATATTGTATGTTTAAGATTTGTTTTAATATTTGATACTAGATGCCCCAACTCATTTTGAGTGGTTAAAATTTGTGTTTTTCTTTTGTATTGTTTTAACTTTCTTGATTAGATTTTTTATAGGCGCCCTTGTTATTTGTAAATCAAGTTAATCAACCAGTCGGTGATTGATCATGTATCTTAGGTTTTTTTTGATAAACTTTATGCACTCACCTGCTTGACTGTTACCGCTACCTGAAATAAATTATAACAACATATCATTTCCAAGTCATGAACCCAGGTGATATGTCTAACAAACCAAGAAAATATAATTATTAACAACAAGGCGTGTATAATACACATATAATACACCGAATTACCGTTTTGTCAATAAACCAGTATTTTTCCCGTGGTTAGCATAAACATAATATAATGGTTACGGTCAGGTTTATTTGGTAGCTTGATATACGTTCTCATCAAGAACTCGACGTATCACCTAATTGTCTTTAATAAGCTTGATGAGTAAATTTCAGTATTTAAAACGCAAAAGCATTAGAATCGAATATTTTGGCTCACACACGATTTGCAGGGATTTTTAAACGGAAACAAATGGTGTTAGTCTAAAATGACGGATATATAACATAAAACACTAAATAAATATTATTGTCGATCTAGCTATTACATAATGTATGTTTAAGATTTGTTTTAATATTTGATACTAGATGCTATATCGACTTCTTCCAATGTCTTCTATTGAAACATGTTTTCTTTTCAAATCAAGATATTAATAGACATTTTGTTTCGTGTAGTGTTCTAAATGATGTATGTAATCAACCAACCCATGGTCCAAAGTCTTTTATTATTATTCTATTATTAAAAATCAAGATAATCATGGACATGGGCATTTGTTTCGGGTAGTGCTCTAAATGATTCATGCGATCAACCAACCCATGGTAAATTAGTTCTGTTGTTCCTTTGTTGAAAGAAAGATCACTTTGTCAAAATGTCATTATTACGATCAAGCTTGTGTTAGTCCTATCCACGAAATTCTACCAAAGTGTTAAATGAAATAAAAACTTACTGTTTTTAGTACATTGATATTCTATCTTGCTGTATGAATGAAATATAGCTACACTAGTAAAATCACAATGTGAAGATATTTCATTCAAACCATTATTTCTATTAAGAGTACAAGTTGATCTACCATTACATGTTTGTTGTAGTTGTGATAGAAGAGTTTGGTTGTAAGGTGTAAAACAATCTCCAGGTTGTTCTCTACAACATGTATCACTACAGCTAGATATACCACTACATCCTTGTCTATATACAAACGTTATATTAGTTATTGATATAACCAATGGTTCTGTACAGATTAGTTTATGTTCAGTACATACTATACCTGGTACACCAAAACAAGCTGGACTAACTTTAGATTCTGTAAAACAATTTAATGATATCAAGTTTTAAATAAAACATATATTGAGGTAAATAATTCACGATCTTGAATAAATGAAATGAAGTTGGGTTTAACGCCATATATGGTCTACTCCTACCGGGATAATGAAGATGGGGATTATGTTCTGTCTATGAGTATACCTTTCAACTAAACTATACTGGAGGCAAATGTGTTCACTTCGGTTGTAACATGAATACATATTATTAACATTAATTATTGCTTTAACCATTATATTCAGTGCATTATAATAGCGGTTTACCAAAAAATTTTCTCAGATGTCACTATCTGAATAGGAAACAATATACTATGTGCGGCACCAACTTATGTTTCTGTCAAAAAAAAGAGACGCAAACCGAGAAGAAGCACATCGTGGTTCTGTAAAAAAGCGATATTCCCTTAAAACAAATTTATATTTTGCCATTCTTTAAAATTAAATTGTAAGGAATTGTACAGGTTTACATAAACCATAGTTTGTTTTAGATTTCCTTCAAAGCATAATATAATATTGATTCTGTTCAATAACGTGGCGATAACGTAAACTTTAATTATCCGCCTATATTTTGGTATTCTCATATGCATGTTCAAATCAATGTGTCGGCATACCTTTTGTGGAGCGTTCGTAAATACTTGTCTATTGATATATTACCTGACTGTGCGACAGTATATACCAATATCAGGTACCAACACAACAATAATACTTTAATTTTTCCCATTATCATTTTACATTCTTCTTATAGTTACACTGTGGAAGATAATCATATCACTGTAGATGTGTTGACAACTCTATATTCTGAAATATTTTAGAAAAATGTGTATATTAGCTACACATGATGCTAACAAAAATTAAGTTGCTTGTTACAGCATTCAATTTATTCATAGTATTCCCTTCATGATTGTATATAATAATTCTGAATAGATACTATTTCAATTAATAAAAATTAGAAATGATAACACAAATATTAAATTAGGACAGCCTTTGTTATAACACAGCTTAATGGGAGCCGCGGTGGCTCATTGCGTAAGACACTGGCTCACTAAGCAGAGGGTATCGGGTTCGCTCCTGGTGTTGGCCAAAAAAGTTCCTCGGAATTTTTTGGTGCGGTTTCTCCTTGACAGTGGTGCAAGGAAAGTGTCTAGTCGTTCAGATTATACGAAAAACCGAGGTCCCGTGTACATATTGGCGTGAACCGTGCACGTAAAAGATCCCTAGACAGTTGAATTTCTGTATGACGCAAGACCGTCTTCATTAGTCTGGTCGGTGCAGACAAGTAATACGTTAAACCCCATTTCGTTTTAATTCTTTTGAGATCGCTTTTTGACCGATTGACTAAACTGAAAAATGTATGCCGCTAATTTTAATATTGTTTTCAGTGAATTCGCAGAATAGTGTCATGGGTAACCTTAACTAGTCCGTGTTTGGATGTTCCTTAGCTAGATGAGTTTAAATTTATTTTAAATGAGATATTTGTAAACATAACACGCTCAGTGGTTTCGTGTAGCAACTTGATTCGTTCATTCTGGTAGTAATGTTCGCGAGGTTAAACAGTGTAACCCAGTTTACATCCTGCTTGTCAAGAAACTGGGGATTTTTTTATCATAATCTGATATTTTATGAAATGAAATGAAATGAAATGCGGTTTAACGTCCTACAGGTTTGCTCCTGAACTGGGCTAATGAAGACGGGAAACTAAGACATGATTTCTAAGGGCAAAGACACGCGAGACGTGGACGTCTTCACACACATTTATGTGTTATCTATATGTTTTATATTACTTGTATATCTCGTCGCCCTTTATATTTATTTTATAAAAAACTATGGAGCTGCGGTGGCCCAATGGCACTGGTGTTACTAGAGAAAGTTTCTCGGGATTTACCAGCCTGCAGGGCACGCTTAGTCATTGGCGTGCACGTAAAGAGTCCTGAACAGTTGAAATTCGATGAAATCACCAATTTTGTGTGTGAGAAAGGAAATCAGTGGACTCGAAGTAAACCTTCTGGGTTGTGCAGATTAATCTACCCTTTATTACGTAGGCCTTCAGGTCTACAAGTACAACCAGTTTCAGTAATCTTATACAAGTACAACCAGTCTCAGATATCTTATACAAGTACAACCAGTCATACATATCT